TACACATTGCAAAGAATCATGTCTCGTATTTCAGAATAAAGCATGAAGAACCTAACAAATGTTATAACAGTCAATTAGCAGTGACAAGTTACATAGAGGCGATCATACTGAAGGTCTATTGTAATAACAACGTGGAAGGCAGTAATAATGTATGATGAATATTTGATTAATTTAATCAAAATCTTCAAGTGAGAGATTGTGAGAATATAAGAAGAGAAGTCTTACATCAGAAAAATTAGATGTTGATATTTATATTTTCTATTATAAAAGGAACACAATGTTTACCTTATAAATCACCTCGAATCTTTTCATTCTTCTTTCTACTAGTGCATTGCATAGTAATTGAGTTATCTTATTTTTAAGAGAAAATATTATTATTGATTTCTCATTAAATTTAAAGAGGATATTGTAATTTCTTCCGGTAGTAAAAATCTATTATTGATTTTATATCTCTTTTCTCATCTTTTATTTTAGTTCTGGGTTATTATGCAAATAATATTCTAATTCCTAACGCTAAGTTGTAAACATTTTTGCAATCTTTTAAACATGTAATTTTTATAGTTAGTGAAAGAGCTTTCATCTTTAATGACATATTTAGAATAATTTGACAACACACTTAATCCTTGTAAATATAAGAGCATGAAATTATATAAATATTTATTTTAAATTTATTATTATTGAATTGGAGATATATCATTATGAAATTAACTCTATTTATATTTAAGTTCAATTGCTTCTTCACATAAATGATTTAAAATCAGTTTAGTATAGTCAATAAAATTATGAATATAGGTCTTATCTACATAAACCCAAAAAATAATGTTATTGTAGCCACAATAACTACATCATTATAGGCATAGTATGTAAATAAATACTTTGGAAAATCTTAACTTTGTTAAGCTGTAAATTGTTTAGAGGAAAGGAATGTGTTAAGTTGGTCAACATATTTACCTAATAAAGCATTCAACTTTGAATCTAAATGTGTCAAAAATAATAAAATCATCATCATAAATTTAAAATGTTACCCATCAACCTTCGCGTTAATGATTTTCAATTTGATTCTTTTGCCATATTTTTCCAACTCTTTTTCGATAGACACCCATTTTATTTAAACCTTGAAAAACATGTGTCAATTTTGAATATATTGAATTAAAAAAATAATTGACATTGTAGAAACCATTACCTACTAAGTATTCACTATCAAATCCACCACAAATAATTATTGGAAGAGGAATAATTTCGTACTTTTTCCATGTAGAAAAGTATTATCCACTCTAATTACTTTAGTTTCAAATTTAGCTTTTTATTTATTTATTTATATATGCGTGATGTGTTATTGGTACGAGAAGAATATTTGATGGAAGAGGTGTGACCGAATGCGTGGGGGTGTTTCTTCTTAGACGATGATTTTGCAAAGAAGAAATAATGTTTGAGTAGTGGAGGGTGGGTGAGAGAAGATTATTTCCCTAAGGATAGAAGCCTCTAATGGAAGGAGAAAATATGTGTTTGTTGACAATGGTTTTAAATATTATTATTCTTTTGAGCTTTTTTTGTGGTGGTGACACATGCCAAAAGTTGTCATTCACTTATATATAATATAGATTTTAATGATTTTTATTTTTTTTTTAGCCAAAACAGCTCATAAGAAGGATACTATGGATAAATCTCAACACCACACTTTCTACTTATTTTACCATAGGATTAAAGGTTTTCTTGAGTGGAACCCATTGAACTTTCTTCACGAAATTATTTATTTACGCTCACAATTCTTCACTTATAAGATTAATTTGTACAAACATACAAAGACTTAATTCAAACAATCTTATCTTTTATTTTATTTTATTTATTTTTAGTTTGTACTGTTTAAATTCATTGTCTCAATAAAAAAATTTGGTTTGTATGATTTCATTTTGTTTTTTAGTTTTTAAAAACAATTTTAAAGATCAATTTAAAAAAAAAATTTTAAAAATAAGTTTAAAAATAAGTTTAAAAAAACTTGATAACTTTATTTTTGAAAAATATTTTAAATGAAAGTGAATATTGTGAAAAGTTGTGATGAACTTGGAACATAATTTTCATAGTTTTATGCTGATGAAAATGATTTATTTAATATAATCATTGATAAAAACATTAATATCAACTAATAAAAATGTCAAAACAATTTTATTTTATTTAAAAAAATGGTTTTTAAAATCTACATCAAATAAAATTTATAATTTTTAAAAAGAATAAAAAAAAAAAAAAAAAACATAATTGGGGTGAGAGAGGCTCGAACTCTCGACCTCAGGATTACTCAGAAGCTATGAGACCTACGCGCTAGCCAACTGCGCCACCACCCCATTTGATTGTGAGATGTTATATATAGAATATCATAATATATATTATTCCCAACAGGTGTGATTTTGCTTGCAGGTAATTAATTGGGTTTCCTGAATAAGACCAACGGAGTGTTTTGACATTTTATTTTTTCTTTCGGTCTTTGACGAACCTAAACAACACAACTACTCATTTCTTACAGTTTCAAACATTTGTTCTTCTTCTCTCTTCTCGGTTTCTTTCTGTGTGGATCTAAACCCACCAAGGTAATTAACTCAACACTTTTCTCTTCTGCATTTCTTTCCATCTTTCAGTCACTCATTAAATATGCATCTATAATCATTTCACCTAGGAATCTCAAAGCTCAAAGCTTCTATGTTGCAGAGCCTCTAGTTCCATACCCATGGTTGTGTGTTTTAAAATATATTTTTTAATCTAATTTGAGGATGACACCCCTGTCACTTTAACCCCTTTAGATGACTAAATATAGAAGGTTCAATTGCAATATATTGAGCTGCATAACCGTATAACTGTAACCGTGTTGTCACTAATTAAAGTTCCCGTTTTTCTTGCATGGTTTTTTCCCGGTGCCACATTAGACTGTTACTAGGATAACTTATAGTTCATACCCTTTGATTCAGAATCTTTGTTTTTAATGATCTGGGTTTTATGCATTGTGATTTAAAAAAAAAAAACTGACCCCTAGGAGCTGCATCTCAAGTGGCACTGTGTCTTAGGAATTGTACTCTCATTGAGGTGTTTTGCTCTGTACTTTAGTTAACTCTCATTGCCCCTCCTTACACGAACTTGTTGACCTCCTTTGAAGGTTTTAAATTGTGGTGGTTGTCATAGTCGTGGTTATGTTGCGACCCTTGACATGCAAACAAATGCAGCGGATGTGGCTGCAATTGCAGTAACGAACCTTTTTTTCTTTTTTTTTTAACTTTAACTGGAGAGGGGGGAAATCTTAAAATTGGTCAACAGTATGTTTGCAGATGTCCTTATTTCCAGTGTGCCTTGCCTTTTGGCCGTTTTGTTTTCTAGTTGGGAAGGGAATACAAAATGGCACCTAATTGCTCAGAGCTTTTGGATGAATTCACATTCAAATGCCTCTGTTTATTTGTTTGTTTTTGTAGATTTTATGTCTAATAAAAATCTCTATGGGTAAGATGATTGTTTGATGAACTATGAAGATCTCACATCAGCCGAGTGTATGACCAAAATTTTCTTTGTAATAATCTTTTGTCCTTGAACTATTATTTTTGGCTGAATTAGGTCTAGTCCATTCTTATCTAATCCAAGCATTTGAAAGTATTTCAATTATGCCATTCTTAATTCTATGTTTGCTTAAGAAGAAATAGCTTGGAAGAAGAGTGGAAAGGAGGGAAAAGTGACCAGCACCAAAATTGGAGCTGATTGGTGGTGTGGAAATGGCAATGAAATATTTAAAAAAGTGAATGCCATACTGAATAAATAGCAAAGATTTGCATGCAATTAGCATTATTCACCAACAAAAGTAGCACTGCACATGTTGGTACTGGAGCTCAGTAGCGCTGCTGGTGGTTGTCACCTTTGTGGAATCACACTTCAGTGTTTTTTGTTTTTTGTCGGAGGCATAATCGATTATGGTGACACATATTCGATTAATCTAAAATCAGTTATGAAGTAGCCAACCAAGGGACACCTTTCATAATATAGATCTTTGATTTGTTGCATTATCCTTTTTAATTCTACCTGTCAATAAGTTTCAATTCTTTAAATAATCCATTTCTTTATTTCCTGATTTTCATTCCTTGTAAATTAAATATACTAAGAAAAATTAGGTCTTTCTTTTCTTCAATTTCAATTGGTAATTTCACTAATCTACAAAGTCAATGAACTCAAGATGCATATTTGTTAAGAGCTTAAATGATTCTATGTTATGAAATTGCAGTCCCAGATTCTGATATGAATCTGAATCTCCATCAGATTCCTATGCATATGATCAAACGGGAGGTAGTCAAAGGCCAAATCACCCTTAAGGCACTAAAAGGGATTTTAAAACCTTGAAGCAAGAGGTGCTAGAAAGTACATGTCATACTAAAGAAAGGCATATTAACCATAGAAAAAGAAGACAGTAAAATATCTTACTGTTTAACTATTTTGCATTGATTTTCATAAAAAAATAATTACCAAGCATAAAATTCATTATAAAAATCGTTACTTCTTTTACAAGAGGTGTTTGCTTCTAAAAGACCCAAAGATTAACAGTTAGAATGTTAGGTGGCTAGTTCTGAGTTCTTTTAATATTCTGATTATTTGCACCTTTTAGCATCACAATTGTTCAGTTAGATGGCTAGGTTTCAGAGGTATATTAGCGTTATCAACATGCTGCCAAAGAAATGTCTTGCATGAACTAGAAAGGCTATGACCCAATTGGTTCTGTGTGCCTTTTCATGCCTTTAACTACCCTTTGATGGGATTTTAAGAAAGATATATAACAAGAGGGCTGAAAGATATGAAAGAGGAGAGCATCATCATTTTACATTTTGGGCAGGATAGTTTTTATGGTTTTTATATAGTTGTTTTTTATTTTGTTTTATTCCTTGTTTCGAATAACAAATTTGCTGTTGACATTTCTTTGGCATTCATAATATGTACATCTAGTTAAAATTTCAACCTATCCATTTTTCTTGAGGTTATGGATGGTGCCCTGCCAGAAAAGTGGCGTCTTAATGAAGTGCAGAAGTAGACTAAAAGACTTGCTTGCTCTAATAAAAGCACATGCATGCATCACGACGAGGAATGATTGTCTAGATTCATCTTACACTGACTTGACTCATGCAGATGCTAGCACTAATCTGAAAATGGAAAAAAATCAAAGAGGTGGTGGTACACAAGATAGTTCAATAATGAAGTCTGTTGATCAAAGAGTGCGCTCTAAGGGGCGAAATGACATAGTGACTCGGCGGCTGAAGAATCGAGAAAGACAACGAAGGTATAGGGCACGGAAGCGTCTGGAAGCTGAAATAAAGAAGTCAATTGTTGTAGAAGAGACACCAACTGTGAAAGTAGAGCAACCACCAAATGGGAACCACAACAACAACTGCATGGCCCGCATATATTGTAAACGAGATTGGAAGAAGGATGCAAGACGTGCCCATGTGTTAAAACAGAAACAGATGAATGGATCTGTTGATCCTCCAACCATAACTAGTATACCTGAGGTGTCTTGCTTAACCATTGGAAATAAGTCAGAAACAGTGCCAGAGAAGGAAAGTCAGTCTGGATCTTCAAGTGTTGGTAAAACTGAAACTCCAAGAGTGGTTCTGAGTCGAAGAGATTGGAAAGCAGAAGCTAGAAGAAAGAAAAACTAGTTGACTCTTCATTTCTCCTTTTAAAAAGAGTATTTATCCTTTTGGACTTTCTGTCCTATAATAGACATTATATACTGTAAAAGAATGCTGGATAACCACTGTTTCATTACTTGGCAAGCTTTGAAATTATGAGCACAGAAGAAATCTGATTCATTTTGGATTTTATTCATTCATACCTTTCATCACAGGCGTAGAAAGGACATTAAAGAAGATACGTGGGTGAACTGGTCATGCTTGATCTTTGGCACAGAGATATCACAGGTGACATGTTATGCAGAGAGAGTTTTCAACTTTAGTGCAAGGTGGGTTTGAGAGACAAACTACCAATCTATTTATGAATTTGTAATATATAAATCTTGATCTGCGAAATAAGAAGCTCTTACAAGTCAATGTCATACTTTTTCCTCTTACAATTCTCACACATTCAATAAATCTTTAATTCACATTAAAACTTTTTGTAATGTTCATCTTTAAGGTTAGTGCATTGAACAACGTGTTGGGATCTAAAAATAAGTTGAATCTGAAATTGGGTACAGGTAATACTACACAAGAGAGATAAATTTAATATCTTAAAATTTTAGATCGAATGTGATAGTATTTATTTGTTTATATGTTTAATAATTGATTTGTTGTCTTCATAAATATTTTTCTTACTCTATACAAATAAACCAATGAATTGTGAAAGGAACTGGTTTGGTCACGTACCATATTACAATGACGTCAAAACTCTATTATTACAATAGAATTCGATATTGAACAGAGAATAAAAAATAATTGCCTTCTCCAAACTCATTCTTTCCAAGTGAAATTAAAAGCTTCATGTCAACGATTCTCATTCAACCGCTGGATCCATAAGACATCCACAAATCTACATATTACATGGCAAGAGATATATAATCACTTAAAGCTCATTACACATTCACTGTTATTCACTTTGCAAGTGTCCAACTAATATTTTCTTATCGTTATATAACTTCTCAATTGCATTATTCTGGCCTTTTTGTACTTCAAATAAAACTGATATTCATACCATTTACTAAACTAAAAAAAAAATTAGAAAATTGTGTAAAAAACTGATATAGCATCCAAACAAAATTTTTTTAGATACTATTGGAATCATATCTTTATTGTGCATTTTTTTTTTTAAATGTGAAATTCATATGAAAAGTTACAACTCAAAATGTAGTATTGTTATACATACTATGACATTTGAAAAAGGTATAAAAGAAGGAAAAAAATCATATTATAAAAATATTTAAACTTATATTAATATTAAATTCCTCACGAATCACGGGTCACCATCTAGCCGTCCTTTTTCATCTTGAAGCACCACGAACTTTCTATCATTCCAAACGTACACAGCAGAAAGAATGATAATAAAATGTGATGAATTAATAAATTGAGCCACGAATTACAATAAATCTAAAGGAGAAAATGAAAATCCAAAAACTACAATGGATGTGAATCATGTGTAACAGGATCATAACTTGTGCAATATGCTTGGAATACCACCCTCTTTAACAATGTACAACAACTCTAAGTCCCCTTGTCCAATCTTTACACCATTCCCCACAAAGAAAGCAGAATAGTGGAAATGTAACACAACAAAGGAGACAGAGAACAGTCGTGTGATCAATCTCAGCGGAAACTCACACTCTTTTCTTGCTTTTCGGTCACATCCTCAAAAGTCCAGTTTCTTCTCATTCCACTGCTCCTCATGAGCTTTGGTCCTGAGGCTTCAGGGTAAGGAACATCTCCTGTGCTATAATTGCGGCGATGATCAGCCTTAAACTTGGCCACAGCACCAACTTTTGGTGGCTCACTTTTTGGTGTTGATGATAACTTGTTCCATGACCAGCTTCTATCAACCTGCTTGCACATTTCCTTGGTTTTCTTGATTTCATTTTCAGCTAATAACTCCTCAAAGGAGTCTGTCCTCTGAAGTACCTGGCTGCAGGTAAGGCAGTTGAGACTCATTGTGCTGGGAATTTGTTGAGTCTCAAGCAACCAAAACCTGTTCTTGCTTGTGTTGGTAGGAAGCTTGTGGAATGAAGTGGGGAGGAGGTGAGTTTATATACATTAAGCCAAAGGGAATGATGAAGTAGCATGATGACCTGTAGACAATGGAACTGATTAGAACAACAATCTTTTGCTATATTTTGGCATGGATTTCTGACCCTCCAAGAAAAAAACAGCTCAGCCATTCTTTTCTAATCGTGGATGGATGGGTTTTACTGTTAGGGAGTTATACTATCATTGACATGGCAAATGTGTTAGAATCCTAATCTTCCATATTCTTTACCTTTTTTAATCTTTCATCGCATGAATTTTCTGGGTGTAGGCCTAATTTGAGATCTTTAGCAGTTAAGAAGGTTAGAATTGTTGGCACCAACTCATTAACTGGTCTACAGAATTAGCATATACCATCCAACTTTAGTAATATATATATATATAAGAATGATGAAAATAAGTGTATGTTCTAAACGTATATTTTTTTAGAGTAAAAATATACCTAATAACTTCGTATGATGAAAATAAGTGTATGTTCTTGGTGTGTGTTTTCTAAAATCGCACAAGTGTATATTAAAACGGACCCAGTTAGATAGTCCAATATCTTCGGCCTGTAGTGTAGTACGAGGTAGGCCCTCATGATAATGGACGAGACTATTTCTACCCAAGTCGACATAACACGCAAGCTTCGCTAATTACACCCCCTTTTCTTTATTTTTAATTTTGTTACCAAATATACCTTTTTATTTAAAAAATAAATACAAAAGAATGAAAAAGGGGAAGTTTGAGATTAGTAGGGTGACTGTACATACAAGTGAATGAAAATGGGAGTGAATTTAGCAAGTAGGGTAATATAACAAAAGCCCAAAATAAACCTTTTTATTTTAATATAAAGGAAATTTCTCTTTGCAGACCCCTTTTCTACTTACTCCCCCACATTTAAAAAAAAACAGTGGTTAGATTCAACATTTTAGAATTTATATCAATAAAACTTTAACACCCAGAATTTGGATTTGGATAGCTTCTCATTATTCGATTTTGTGTCAGAAATGGAATGAAAACACGTCTCATATTATAAATTTAGAGAAATAAATAGAGAAGTTTATGGATTTGGTAAACACTTCAAGAAGTATAGACAGAGAAGTTCAACATGACTCATCTCTAAAATACTTGCGAAACAAAGAAAGACAACAAACAAATAAAAATGAAGTTTATCTTTTCCTGAAATTAATTTCTAGACATATCATAAAATATACTTTCAGAACTTAATTTCAACAAATATGTAAATTTGTTATATTTTAAAATGTAAGTGTCAAGGCATTAGTATCTAACCACGGTAATTAAGACAAATTTTAGACTTAAGAAAAAATTAATATTTTTTATTTTAAGAGTTAAAAAATCAAGCGTGTATATCATGTGCAGTTGAAAAACAAAACTTGAGGAATACAAAACCCCAACAACAAAATCATACATAGATGCAGAATTTAATTGGAAAATTTACTACAAGTATTTTATAATGCTATGTAGGAGAAGGCCATTATTTTTTAATTACTTTATAATGCCAAATTTTATACTTACAATTGCGGGAAATTAAACTCATTAATGAATATAATTTTATATATCAGTAAGTAAAATGTGTAGTTGAAATAAACAATTTTTTTTTCTTTATTGAAAGTGGTGAAAATGTATCCTAATGTTCTCTAAACTCCACCTGTATTTGATTTGTCTGAAGGTAATTTTGCTTTCCGCTTAAACAATGGATTTCAACAATAACTTCAAATTCAATGAACTTTGCCAACTAAAAATCTTTACACCATCATATCTAATTTTTAATGCATGAATATTCACAAACCATCATTAAGGGTAGCTTTCACTTTTTACTAAGACTCCAAGGTTGAAAATTTCATTATCTATATTAATATATAAAAGAATATTATTTTTTATAACTATTTTAAATATACCTAATTTTTTATAAAGTTTTATTTTTAGCATTTTGATAATTCTTTTAATAATTATTATATATATATATATATATATATATATATATATAAATTAGATACAATAATATGTGGCTTTCATTAATTAAAATTTATATTTTATTTCGTTCAAAAACATTTTAAATACTATCATAAATATTTTTAAGATGAAATTTCTATTGTAATAATTGGTGTTAAAATATTTAAAAGGATTTTACCCCACCCTCTCCATAAGCATTCCCTCTTATAAATGCTCTGAATTATCACTTTATTTATAATTTGATTTGCATGCCCAATCTCATACCTTAAGTTAAGAGCTAAATGATAACAAATTTTGGTTAGAATAAGTGACTCTTCTGTTAACCAGACAAGATTACTTCAATTACACATTTATTTCTCGTCACCTTCCTTCAATTACACATGTCTAAAGTAATATAATTTCTTTTTAATTTATTTATATATTAATAAACTCTCTGACAACCTTTTATAAAGTTGTTGCGTTTTGACAAGACAAGTTCTCATATAACACAAATGTTTAGTGCCTCTAAAGTTATAATTATGCGTCAGTGTCCATATTAATTAAAAGAGGAAAAAAGAGATCCTGCTAACTGCACCACATTTCAATCGTGCATTCACTGTTTGTTACTTTAGACACCCCTCGTGCGTCTATTTTTATTTATTTATCAGATTTACAAATTGGGATTCATTTGTACTTCAAAAATAAAATTTAGTAAAAGGAAATTATTTGTGTGAATGTAGGTTAATTTTTTTAATTAATTTTAACTCAATTTTTGAAAGAAAGAAGGATGAACATTTTATTTCTTATTGGAATTATTAGAGGTGAAGAAAAAGAGTCAGAATGTCAACCAACTTAACCTAAATTTGCCTGATGAAATATAAGTTTTCAAGACAATTTAATGTAGTCCACAAAACTCTTTGAGCCTATTTTTATCCACAAATTGAATTTCAACTTATTCTAGCCATATGCTTTATGCTACCTTAACCAACAAAAACTGATCATTTTTCTTTTTATTTTTTAAATTGTTTGGACTAAGATAAGAATTTGAAGTAATTTAACTGAATTGGATTGAGAGAAAAATAATAATTTTATTATATTTTATGTGATTAAATATAGAATAATTGAATAATAATATTATTAGTGTAATGAATAAATTATTCTTAAGAATGAAATGGATAAATTAAATATAAATTAAAAAACGAGGGATAGATAAATTAAGTAAACATGTAAAAATAAATAAAACATAGAAGAAGAGTGGAAAATAAAGAGAAATAAGTGAGAATATTATAGATAATAAAAATGCTTTGATTGTTTTAAAAAAATTAGATAATTAAATAAATTATACGTCATTAAAATATTTTTATTATAAATTTTAATAAGAATAAATTAAAATTAAATTAAATAAATATTTAAAAATAGATAAAAAATAAAATTAATTTTTATATCAAAATATTTTATGATGATAATTTTATTAATCAAATAAAATATATTTAAATGAAATTTTTTATTTACATTGATAATGAATATTTTTTTAATTGAAAGTTAAATAAATTTTATGTATAATAAAATATAAATTAAAATAAATTAATATAAGAAAAAGATGAATATACAATTAAATAATATTTTTATTATTATTTTTAATAATAAATAAGATATATTATGTATTTAAACATTAATTATGTGTAGGTCCCATGATTCATCCATTATGGTTAAATCATTAATTGATTACTCAACAGATTTTGAAAAAAAAAAAATCACACCTTATGAGAATGAAATGAAATTCATAAGATTAAAATAGTAATTTTTAATTTTCAACTGACTTTCTAATCATTTCATCTCAAGAAGAAATAAAATGGTGTGTGTTTTAATTTTTCTCTGCAAATTAGTGCAAATAAATAAAAACAAACATAGTAAGTCATTGTATTCTTGTGCTTTCTTTTTCGCATAAATAGTAATAGCCTAGAAGCAAAGATAAGCTAAGGGTGGCTTTTGGAGCAAGCCACCGTAATCTCCACCTTATGTAGTTCATCTTCTATTTGAACACAAATTAAATACAGACAGTTTCCGGAAAGTAACTAAATATGAACTCTTCTAAAAATTTCTAATTTATCAATTAACTTCATTTTTAGGCATAAAATAACTAGCTCAACTGTTCATAAAACATTAATTGTAGATATTCATATTCATGGATAATTAATAATGAATATGATAATAAAAATAAAAAATTACAAATAAATGAAATATTGATTATTATTTTCTGATTAATGATGAAACTATTTGTCTTACCTTTATAATTTGAAAAGATGACAGACTTTAATTTTAGTTGTAAGAATTTTGGTGTGCGAAGTTGATGTAGAAAACCTTTTAGAAAGGAATACGTAGTGAATTGAAGATGATGAGGTGGAAAGCAATATAGAGATGTTAAAATTATTTAATAGTGAGGTCCAAAATCATGATATTATTGAGAAACATGTGCCTAATGCTTAATTTTGATATTGAATAATACAAGTGGAGTGTAGGAGGAAGACAAGAACAGGTATTAATCAGTTTTCAATGGGTCCATCGGATGTCAGCATTGTAGTGACGAAACAAACTTCACGTGGATTTTCTTGAGCTGTTGTTGAAGGAAATGTTTAATTAAGCGCCACATTTGGTGGCATGTCATATGCTCTGCTCCACTACTTTAATTTTGAATCAATTCTTCCTAAATCAATCATCCATTATATACAACTATCCTTGATGTGATGTAAATTACACACCTCCGATCTTCTTTTCTTCTATTCATTTTATCAATCTGTTCAGAATTCTTGTCAAAATTTTAAATCAGTTGCGAAGATTCTGTGAGACTGTATTAGATGTATTTTTTTTTTAAGTATAATACGAGTAGAATAATCTTAGAGTACAAGTCATACAGTCCGTCACGACATAAATTTTAACATATTAAAAAATATATAAAATTCGTCTTTTAAAAAGTTTTATTTTTTAATATCTAGTTGTTCAATTTATAAGATAAAGAATTCAATATATATTTTAACTCCCATGAAAAATATAATAACGGGTATAAATATGCGGGTGATGTTCAAACTAATAATACAAGGTATTTCTTACGTACAAATTTGATAAAACAAATTGAGAAATTTTGTTATTTCATAACATAAATTATTTTTTATTTAATTACTTTATTACTTATATTTAAACA